CTAAATTTTTGCGGCATATTCTTCCCGTCTAAGTTTTTCAGTACGTTCAATTTTCAATAATTCCTATACATATAATTGGCACAACATATACTGTATATCATCATTATGTTCGGAACTGTTAATTTTACATATTTTTTTATGACAATTCTATAAAAATTTTGGCAAGCATTATTCACGATCAAAATTACATAAAATTCGATTTTCATAAACTTTCTTAAAATTACGTGTAAAGTTACGTAAAGTTACCCTACCTACTAGAGTTGTGACCCGTTCAATCTTTATGGCTCAAATTAAACTTAATTTGGGCCGAAAAGATTGAATGGGTCACATATAGGCAGTGTTAAAATTTTTATTGGCGCAAACACAAAAAAAATGTACACAAAAAAGAAATCTATACGCGCTTTATATATACAGAGAGCGCTGGTATATGCGCGCGGATCCAATTTACATCACTGCATATACGGTTGGAAAATTATCGTAATTTTCCGTAAGTTTGTGTAAGATTCTGAAATTAAATTACATGTAATTTTGATCATGTGAATAATTTGGGCCAAAAATTTTTGTAAGCTAACATAAAAATAAATATAAAATTAAAGTTCCGAAACACAATGATGGATATCTATTAATGCCGGCAAAACTTTTGTAATGTTAGTGCAGCTATCATGTGACAATGCGCTATATATCTGATATTGTAAAGTTATTCGAATGAAAATTGTAATTTTGTGTAATACAGTAATACAACCCTAGTCACATATCTACAACTTAAACACTACGTATGGAAAGCTAATTTGATGCTGATCAATAATTTAGGCAAAAAAAAAACTATATGTATAGAGAGAAAAAAGTACGTATTAATTGGAAATAAAATGGGCCGTGAAAATTCAAACAAAGAATTCAAAGAAAAGAACGGAGGTACTGAAGAGACTTAATGTAAAAGAATGCTACAGTTGCCAGAGATTCAAGAATGCTATTGAAGGTAAGACGACGCCAAAGTGATTCAAAGATATAGAATGCTACTGGAGTTAAGAAAGACGCCAAAGTGATTTAAAAAATGCTACTGGAGTTAAGAAAGACGCCAAAGTGATTTAAAAAATGCTACCATTGAGAAAAACGCGAAGAAATCCAAGAATCCAAAAATAAAAGAATTCAAGTAAAAGGTCTTTTATTCAATTTATTTTACTCTCTTATTTTCGTTAGATTGCAGTTTAGATGATAATCGATAGGTTACGCACCTCACCTGACGATCTGCATCTGAGGTGCGTCAGCTGTGATCTGAGGCAAGCGTTAGTCTGAGGCACAACATATATACTCACAGTTCCTCAACATTATTTTAAAAAAGTATTCGTCAACTCCCCTTAAATCTGGTCGTGTTATTCCTTCAATATCATTATCCCAAATGTTGTCTATCCAACTTTCAACTCCTTTAGGAGGGTCGAACTTAAAATTAAAATTCAAAAGCACATCAAAGTCTTCCTTAGCTCGTAGATAAGTATGCGGAGGAATTAGATATTTGATGGCATGCCATGATTTAAGAGGATGATTAGGAGGGAGGTCTACTAAATTCGTTTCGAAAATAGCATCATGGCAGTTATTAATAATTGTTTGGTTTAGGAATTCGGGTTCGTTGTTTACGGTAGTAATTTCATAGAATTAAGTGAGTATAAATTTGATTATATATTCATTCGTTAAATCCGAATTTCTCATTAAACTTTACATAACTGCCAGTTCGTAAATATAAGTCTGATTAAATCTGGTTTATTTGTTAAATTAGGGTTCATAATAAATTAATGCTAAATAATATTTCAAATAATTGTCTAAAAGTCAGTGAATAAGTTTAATTATGTATTGTATATTCATTTTTTAAATCAGAACTTCATGATGAATTATTGCTAAATAGTGCATAAATTATATTAACTACCATTAGTGCGTGAGTATAAATTCAACTACACATATCCATTTGTTAAATCCAAATTCCACATGAAACTAGTACCAAATAATACATCAACTATCATAGGCAGTAAGTATAAAGTTCAATTACATAAATCAGAAATTTTGCACTAAATTAATGCAGCTTGTGGGTATTATGTTGGCTCATTTGTTAAATTAGAATTTATAATGAATTATAGTTAAATAAATTACCAAGGAATGAGTATAAAGTTTGATCACATATATTCGTTCGTTAAATTAGGATTTTGAAATGAATTTAACATTAAATAATCTTATAAAAATTATGTTGACCATCAGAAGATATGAAATTCTACTAAGAACATTCGTTTTTTAAATTAGAATTAGCGCTAATTAATTCTTTAACTAGTTAAACAAATAATTTGCCTTCCAGAGAGTACGATTAGATCGGTTCAAATTGTTATATAATTTGCAAAGAGAAAGTTTTTACTGCGTACAGTATATCAGTTTGATCAACCAGATAAAGTTCATACAGTCTCAGGACGATGTAGTACTAGCGATCTGATTGATTGAAGTGTTTTTTGATTTTTAGTACATTTATTATATTTATTAAATATATAGTTTCAACTGATTAAAAAAATCAGAATCTGATATAGGTCTGAAGCAAAAAATATTACTATATGTGTTACACTAACTGCAGATCGTTCATGGGACCTGAAATTCTCGATTTTCATTGGTTTTTTCCGCCGGACATTGCATAGACGTGCATTCATTGTACCTAGCCACCTATTTTGAACAAATTACAGAATTAACAATCAATTTGAACATTAAAACAATCAGATTTGAACATTAAAGCAATCAAATTTGAACATTAAAGCAACCAAAATTGGACATAACAATCAAAATTAAATACATATAATTAAATCTTAATATTTCATTAATATAGTAATTAGAATTATATAATTTTAGTATTATTAAATTTATTATATTACTACGTATAAATTTAAGGAGCAATCTATTTGTAACCATGGCTACTGTAACCGCATCTTATAAAAGCCAATCAAATTTAAAGATCAAAACAACGTTTCGTCAAAAATTGTCAAAAAACGGTTATATAACTCAAAATTGAGTATATGAAACTACTCTTTGGGTTCTATATAACAAAAAAAATTCCTTGCTAAATTTTACTATAAAACACACCTTTTTAACCGCATACTATTTTTACTTCACCCTAACCCTAATTAACAAAGAAAAGGGTTATTTTAGTTACGGTTACGGTAGCCCCATGGCTACAAATATATTAATCCTAAATTTAATAATACTAAACTGATTACTATATGAGTGTCGCTAAAAGAAAACCCGACAATTTAAATATAACTTATATTTAAATTTTCGGGTTTTCTTTTAGCGACACTCATATAATAAAATATTAGCTTGTTATTATGTTCAAATTTGATAATTATCATGTTTAAAATTGATTGTTGTCATGTTCAAATTAGTGTTCAAAAATTTGATTGTTAATTTGTCCAAAGTTGGTGGCCAAAACCGATATTACGATTGTTCCGTACGTACGTAGTGTATTGAGAGGTTTCAAATACAAAATTAGACTTTAGTTTATGGAATAGAATTCATGAAGTAAAGCACATAATTTGGCCAAAAATTACCCTCGCATTTTAAGGGGCAATATGTATGTGCGACCAGTACAAAAAATTATCAAAACAAAAAAACGATTGAGACTACTAAAAAAACTATTAAAAGTCAAACTTTTCTATTATGTTGACAATTTTTAACATTTTGAAATCAACAAAAATTTATTAAAATATGATGTGTGTTCATCGTGAAATAGTTAAATATTTAATAAATATTTTAATAATATTTCATTTATATTTATTAAATATAAGGTATGTTGGAATGCAATTGCAAATATCTATTTAAAATACTTTATAATATTAAATTTAAATACTTATTTAATATTACCATTTGTCAATTATAAGGTTTTGCTTAGCTCAAAAAGCACCTGCTCTTCCTCCTGTTGCTTCTACTGATGTTTCTCTTTGTGTTTCTCCTACTTGCGATCCTTGCCTAGGATCATGTCCTATTCCATCTCCTCCATCTTGCAATTTCCGCACTACAACCTATACAAGTACTTATACTTATACTTCTACATATGGGGTGTCTTCAATTAAAAGGGCCCATTTTTACAATTTTTCAAAAATTGAGTTTTTGTTAGATTCATATAAACTTTGACATGATTGACATTTTTCAATTATAAATGAAAGTCGATTTTCTTAATAAAAAATAGAGATAATGTAAAAGAAAGATTACACGAGGCTGCCTAAGGCCAAGCATATCACGCGATTACCCGATAGTCACCTGTTACCGTTAACCAATCAAAATTGTGAAATTCGATTAATCCCGGATCAGTCCGAAAATCAAAACAAATGTTTAAACTCAATTATCTCGAAATGAGATAAATGTAAAAATGGGACCTTTTAATTGAAGACACTCCATATGATCACTACTATACCTATACCACATTTGCCACGCCCGAACATGCCACATCTTCAGGGTGTGATGGTGCATTGATAGGTACTGTTTCACTCGGAGTTGTAATTTTTCCGATATGTATCGCTTTGATCTTTTATTATCGGCGTCACGCAATGACAACCCAATCAGGACAAATTCCAAAGCAAAATGGAGTCAAGAACCAAAATCCAGGAGCAACATATGATGTAAGGGAATATGGAGCTTCTGAAGTAGTAATTTAAAATTTTGGCAAACTTTGTTAATAAAATTATTGCTTAGAAAGCAGAAAATTTGAATTAAATGAGTTTAGGTCAGATTACTAATAAGTCGAAGGATTTTTTGTAAATGACCTTTTAACGCTATCAGTGATATAAATATCATACTTTTCAAATTTATTTGCGAGATTGTAATTAATAGTATAGGCGATTCTGCTCAATAATTAATTCATTAGTAATACATTTTATGCTATAATAGATTCTATAATTATAATTTATTTGAAACCGGCGTCATTTGCAATCTTTAGTTCAATAAATAGAATTTATCACATATTTTTAATGCTCTTTCCTTCGCTAAGTCTCAATCATTCAGATTTCTCTCTAATGATACCTGACGAACTATGACGCTACAAAAATGTGATTGGATGTGTTGAAAATGAACAATTTGCTTTACGTCATTAGAATTGGCAGCTGCACTTCTGAAATCTGTGCCAGGTTATGCATGATCTACAAATCAGATTTCGAGGATCAGGTGTAACGTAACAAACGTTCGTTTTGTCAAAAATCCTTCTTTTTCATAACAAAAGTTTTTCTAGCGCGATTTTACTATACACCCACTTAGTTTTAACTTTATACGAAACACCCTAACCCTAATATTAATGAACTTTAAAAAATTTTACATGATGATCGGCAACATGCATAACCTGGCACAGATTTCAGAAATGCTCACCCTGTCGTATTATTATCATGCGTTATAATTAGATCTTTAAGTACACATTTTCCAGATGGAGAGCTCACTCTCTATAACTCTGCGACCTTCCGACTAACTCGCCCATATTTCATATTTCTTGATATCTTCCGAACTTTTCCGAAACTTTCCGACGTTCCTAATTATATTACCGGCCCAAATTAAACATACACTGCTCTTAATTTTGCCCAAAAATTCGTTGCTGTCAAAAATTCCATTTTATACCGTTTTGTACTAAAAATTCCGTTTTATTCATATCTACATATATGTGAATTTTTCCGTGTCCTTGTACTGGGGTAGTTCATGACCATTAGGGATGTCAAATGTTCGGTTCAAACTGACACTGCTCCAGGAATCGAGTTTTAACTAGAATTGAATATAGTCCTGTAACTCATAAACGATTAAAAACAATTAAATAATTAAAGCGGATTAGTTTAATGTAAAATTATCTTCAGTATAAACTAAAAACCACTTTTATTATATCAATTATTATTATTTATTAATTAATTTTAAAATAAAAAAAGCTCGACTTAAAAGTAAAACCAAGCTTTTAACATCCCTAATGGCCATGCCCGTGACCGTGACCATGACTTTCAGTACCAACAAAATTAATTTTGAAAACTTGACCACATTCTGGGCATCGATCAAATTCATGACTCTTATCCACAGTAATCCATAAAAGTTCATGAGAATCAACAGGAAACCCTAGAAAGAAAGATTACATTTAGATACATATGAATTTGAAAACTTCTATTTTAAATTACCGTATATTAAATATATGTACCAGTACAGCCCACATAACGGATAGGATCAACACTTTTAACCATGATGGGATCCTTTTTTGTACCATATTTTGTTATGCTCAAAGGCTTCATTTCGAACAATTCTTTGCCTTCTAGAGCAGCAAGCAATTCAAGACGTTCAAGACCGGTAGCCTGTTCAGCATCAGTTGGTACCGTGCCGGGTTTTGCACCAGAACCGAAAAAATTAGGGCCAACATCTGAAATAATTTTTTATTTAAGAAAGATTACTAAATTTTCATTGACAAAAAAAAATAAATTCTCGATAAATGCCGAGTTACATGATAAGATCGAGCTTCCTTTAATAAAAAAAAATTACATAAAACAGCTTATGATGATAGCGTGTAATATATTCTTACCACCAAAGCAAGGTCCTATAACAGAAAAGGCTCGAACAGCTGGTACTCGAGGAATTTGTCGAGTAGCATTTCTAGTAACAACTGCCCCAAAAGTACGAAGAGCCGTGGAAAACATTATTCGTTGAAAAAGTACAAAATTACAAAGATCTGAATTATCAGGATTATCAGAATTAAAAAATTTGAAGATCAGCCGGCCTGCGTTACATTAATGCAGGCCAACCAAATTACTTACATACGTACGTACGTACCTATTAGAGTTTCGAACCGAGCCACTCATTTATCATACACTAAATTTTTATTGACTAGCATGAGTCCTTGTGGATTATATATTACAGTATTAAAAGTAAATAATTATTTATTTAACCAAGACAGATTTCAATGAATCGAGGGATCACAATTATAAAAGTGGTTTGTTATAAGTTATATCTTGTAATTCACGGATGGCTTAAATCACATGATTTGGTTGCGATTTAACGGTTAATGCTGGTCATAGTAATAGTTGTGTCGATAGGTAGCAATTTCCTGTATTTCTCATGACTTCTATGGAGCAAACAGAAAAGTCAAGCGAGCTTTTTACTGACTTACATGTTAAATACATTCAATCTCTTGATACAGTAATTAATCTGCCTCATTAATTTTTTACGTTGCTAAAAGACCTTATGATTAAATTCATAAAATCTATAAACACTATTTTGTAGAAAAAGGACGACTTGGAGTACTGGCTCACCGAGCATCTTCGTCTGAGCGGTGTATATTGGGGTTTAACAGCTTTAGATTTGATGAATAATGTTGACGCCCTTAAAAGAGAGGACGTGGTGAAGTATGTGGTTTCTTGTCAGCATGACAATGGTAGTCTCTTAAAAAAACTGACCAATGGATGATTTATTGAATAATTTAACCAGTGAGTAATCCAATTGTCAATTATTTTAGGTGGGTTTGGTGGACATATAGGACATGATCCACATTTATTATATACTCTTTATGCGGTTCAGATTTTAGTAATTGAAGATTCTTTGGATGCTGTTAATGTTGAAAAGATTGTAGAATGTAAGAATATTTGAGTCATTTATCCGTTGAAATTGTTTTCACGTTTAGTGCGTAATTATTTGACGAATAATTTTGTTGCAGACGTCTCATCTCTTCAAAATCGTCAAACTGGAGCTTTCACCGGTGATGAATGGGGAGAGATAGACACTCGATTTTCATATTCAGCACTTTCATGCCTTTCGCTGCTAAAGCGTTTAGATGCTGTAGATGTCAAGAAAGCTATCGAATTCATCATGCTCTGTAAAAATTTTGATGGTGGTTTTGGAAGTACACCAGGGGCAGAATCTCACGCTGGTCAAAGTGAGTTTCGTGCTTAATATTATCAAAAGATTGAAAATACACTACACGTAAAATAAATATATTGACGTAATTATTATGTTGGCAGTCTTTTGTTGTGTTGGCGCACTTGCTATTGTTAATTCTTTGCATCTGGTTGATGCTGATTTGCTCGGATGGTGGCTTTGTGAACGACAGTTGAAAAATGGTGGTCTTAATGGACGACCTGAGAAACTCGAGGACGTAGGTTTATTATTATTATTATTATTATTATTATTATTATTATTATTTATTATTATAATTATTTAGATTATTTAATCGTTTTCATTTGTGCAGGTATGCTATTCATGGTGGGTGTTATCTGCGCTTAGCATTTTGGGCAGATTACACTGGATAAATAAGGAAAAATTGATCGAATTTGTTCTGGCAGCTCAGGTAACTAACGATTTACGACTTGAGATTTCTGTCAAAAGTTTGCTTCTTACAATACGAACATAAATATTATCAAGGACCCAGAGTCTGGTGGAATTGCAGATCGACCTGGCGATATGGTTGATGTATTTCATACTTTGTTTGGAATTGCAGGTACGTACGAAATTTTTGCCCCAGATATTTAAATTCTATTTATGTATATTTATTTTTGTACTATTTTTTATAGGGTTATCATTATTAGGATACCCCGGACTAAAATTAGTTGATCCAGTTTATTGTTTGCCAAAACATGTAGTTCAAAGGATTGGTTTGGCGGAAATGTATCATATCTAGAAATTATTACTTTTTTTAATAATAAAAAAAGGTCAATTTTTTATCTGCCGTGTAACTAAAGATAAAATTAAATTTGAAATTAATTTCAACCGCATCGCTGTGTAACAACATATTAATCAATAAATTTGTTTTAGTTAGATAGATGTACGTACATTATCGTTATCAATAAAACTTTGAGTATGACGATAATGCTAGATATTTGTATAATTTTTATATCTACTGGATAAAGTTGTTCATTCTTTGGTCATTTTCGACAAAAATATTAAGTTGAAATTATTCAAAATTTCAAAATTTTATTAAGATAACTTATTTTAATTTTCTAAGTAAAATGTTCGGAACTAAGTAAAATACTCCCTGTATTTGTTTTATACAGATTTATGAATTATATAAATTTGGTCATGTTTGGATATTCTGGACGGACGGACGTTGGACGAAGCATGCCAAAAAAGGCTTTTTGATATTGATATCAAAAGTGTACATTCACACATGTATGCGCCTTATTGCAAGCAAAAAACGACCTTCCGATCCAAATACAGTAGAACCTCTTTAAGCGCACACCCTCTTTAAATGCACACTCAAATTTCAGTCCAAATATGTATATACATTACCTCCATGCACTGTTTCTTATTTGTTCCCTAAGTGCAAATAGTTAAAGTACACATCGTTAAAAAGCTTGGTCCCAAGAGTATGCACTTATAGGTTTTACTGTACTCGAATTCAAGTATTTTCGGAAGGTAATAAAATTAAGTTATCTCTCTATATGTTGCACGAGATCCTTGAATCCGGACCAATTTTCTGACATCATGGTTATCTACAATGGGTAAATTTTAATTATCACTGCAGAAGATCATATCTGCGTAGATCTACATTTTGCATATCTTGCATAACTTTTTTTTACAGTATTACAGTATTATAATATATATACTGTATATCTGATATATCCGGGTAGATTTTTGAATCAGTAAATAATATAAAAATTTTGGTTGCAAAGTTGAAGCCAAGAAATTATCTATAATTAACAGAATATTTTATACGTATAAGTTGCAATTAACAAAATATTTTACACAAGTTATAGTAATAGTATTATTAATATATTTTTTTAGTGAAATCTCTAATAATTACAGATTACAGATCGAGTCCAGACCATTATTGGATTTTAAGATTTAAAAATGGGGATATTTTTTTTTATTTATACGTAATACATGCAGGTGTAACGGACCATTTTGATGAATTGTCCAAATTTAGATATTTTATTTATGCATAGTGTTCTAAACAACTTAACCAGATTATCATATCAGCATCATTTTGATATTTTGATGGAGATAAGGATAAACCTTTGCAGTAATCCAAAAAAAGTTAAAAATGATAATGAAAACTGGTACTTTGCTTTTTCACTTTTAGTAGAATCAGACTGGCGTTCTATCAAGAAAAAAAACTAAAAAATTTCAGTATTATGACAGCCGAAATTATGGCGGCGGCTCCAGTACCGCCTTTACCGCCTTTGGCTTTACTACCGCAACAAGTAATTGCTGGTACTTTCGCTGGTTGGGCACAAGTGGTCGTAGGTAAGGAAAAATATCCTAACGCTATAAACCAACCGTGAAAATAAATAAAATTTAAAATAATTTGTTTCATTCGATAAATAAAGGGCACCCTTTCGACACAGTCAAAGTTCAACTCCAAACTAACAGTATAAAGTATCGAAATGGAGTAGATTGTTTTAAATTTATTGCAAAGAATGAAACTGTGAATAAATGCTTCCTTTATTTGTTCAAAAATCTTATTATCATGTTTTATGTTAATTATAATCATTCCTGTAGTTTCTTGGATTTTACAGGGGAGTTACATCTCCTTTGGTGGGAATTGGAGCGTGGTCAGTATTGGTTTTGAATTTGAGTTTGGAACCGACTTAATTTTATTCGTTAAAACCGATTTAGACCGGTTTTGACATGAAAAATAAAACCGGCTTCAAACCCTACTTTCATTCATCCTCGATTTACTAACTTTATGTAATGTTATTAATGAATCTTGTCTTTTTAGTAATGCGGTCCTGTTCAGTACATTTGCTAGCTTTCAGCGAATAATTCGAGGTTCTGACACAACACGAAGCCTCACATTACGTAATTAATGATTCATAATATTCATGTTCTTTTTTTTTTTTGCGTGCTTTAGTGCAAATTGGTAATTTTTTTGATTTCAGGAGAGACTGGGATTGCAGGCGCGCTTACTGGTTCAGTTATGGCCTTTGTTAACACGCCGGTAGAATTGTTAAAAGTTCAATTGCAAACACAAAAAAATCAAAAACCGGCTGTGCCTAATCCAGTAAGTACTTTTAATTCTACAATCCACTTTTTTTAAAAAAATCGCCATTATGATCGGACAATTTTTATATTATTTATTTTGATTGGTTGACAAACCGTATAGATGGTTTTTTTCAATTTTGATACATATAAAGTGTAATAACTTAGAAGGAAAGTTGTATTTATAACACCGTGTTATATAACACCTTATGCTATATCTCAGAAACGTACTAAGTAAATGGGTGTAGGTACTCTAAGTAAAAATGTTCAGTGCCATTGAAAACCTCATGGGAACTGAAATCGGGACCTATTAGAACCTTATATCTAATATATATTGTATAATTAAAAACCCTTATAAAACCCCTATTTTTTTTTTTTTTTTTTTAATCTTCAAAGGTGAGGATAAAACCCCTATTTTAACCTAACTCTAATTAAAACTATATAGGTGTTATATAACATAGGTGTTATGAATATAATATTTCAACTTATAAAATTATAAATTATAAAAAGAAATATTATATTCATAACACCGTGTTAATATAACACCTATATAGTTTTACTTAGAGTTATGGTCCAGTTTTAAGATATATAGAGGTTTTTTATTATACAATATAAATTAGACAATAGATCCCAATTTCAGTTTTTATAAAGTTTTTAGGGATTCTAAATGTTTTTACTTAGTACCCCGAGGTGTGTTAGCTAGTACATTTTTGAGATATTGCATAAGGTGTTATATAACATGGTGTTATGAATATAACTTTCCTAATAAAAATCTATTCTAACAGAATTGTAGCTTAGATAAAAAGCAACAATCTGTAAGAGGGATTTTTGCTAAAGTATTTTGTTCTTGAGTTATAACACTTTTTATATTTTATATATAAATATTGGCTGTCCTGCACTGTATTTCATTAAGTTAACAACAAAACCTTCAACACTTGTGTTTCATTAATAGTATAGAGGAGTTTTCGATGCCGCAGTTCGGATATACGCAACAAATGGAATTACTGGTTTATATCATGGTCTACCCATAACTATAATACGTGATATTCCAAGTTTTGCTACGTATTTTTGTATGTAACAAGTTTTTTTTGTCTACACATATACGCAATGATATATGCTAATATTTATATATATTTTAATATAGTTGCGTATGAAGGAATTAAACAAATAATGGGTAACTATAGTCATAATGGAAATAAAAATCAACTTACTACCCCAGAGTTGTTACTTGCAGGAGGAATGGCTGGAATTGCTTGTTGGATTCCATGTTATCCTCAGGATGTTATCAAAAGTAGAATGCAAAGCAATTTAAAGTAATTTCTAATTCATTGTTTTAAACAGTTACATGTATATGATTATATTTAATTAATATTTTTTATAGTTTCAGATCTACGGGAGAATGCCTTCGGTCATTAATCTCTTATAGTAGGAAAACAGATACTTCAATCTTTAGTTTATTTTCTAAAGGTTTTGGTCCGACAATGATGAGAGCTTTTCCTGCCAACGCTGCAACTTTCTTTGCCTATGAAATGGCACTTAAGATTTTACGCGTCAATGGTTGACCATTAAGAATTAAATAAGTATAGAATCTTTTTTTAAAAAAAAAAAATGTAGTCGTAGAATTTCGGATTTATGCATTTTTCTTCACTGTAATTAAATTCAATTCATTTATCGTCTAAAATAAAAAATAAGCATTTGATAGTTTTTTTCCGTCACATATATCCATCCACAAAGTTTTAATCGCAAACCAGAAGACGTGGGATTTTGTGAATTACTACAATCTTAAGGTACATTCATTAGAAACACTGTAAATCGCAAGATCCCACGTCTTCGTGCAAACATTAATTTTACCGTGTTACGTTATTAATTACATGAAATGCACGTGTATATTTGAATCATAGAATCTTCCCCAGCATCGCCAACAAAATTTTCTCGATCACGTGATGATCGATAAAATTGTTTTAAGTTCTTTTATGTTAGAGTTGGTGTTTGAACTAAGGTTGGAGATTAAAGAGGATATAGTAAATTTCTCAAGGAATTTTGAAATAAAGGCAGTCTTAAACAAGTAGCTTAGTGGTGGCGAAAAAGAGCGCAATCACATGATCTTTGTCCAATAATATTGTAAGATTAGGTGTAACGTAGCACAAACAGGAAATTCAAAACAAACGTTCGTTTTTCCAAAAACCGCTAATAACTCAAAATTTTG